CAGACCCAGCCTGGCTCCCCCAAAGGGGACCCACACGGTTCATTCCCCTACCCCCTGCCCAGCCATGCAGAGAGGAGACAGAGCCTTTTCTAACTCCTCTCTGTGACAGCCTGGGGGTGGGACTTGGCCAGTGCTCGCCAGGAGCAGACGAGCGCTGGCTGAGGCTAGCAAGCCAACCAGAGAAGGACTCCTGGGATGCCAGGATAATGCTACCTACCTTGACTCAGGATGGGATGTGGTACAGACATTTGATAAAGTGCTCCAACCTAAAGCGCTTTAGTCTTATACCTCATCTATCCAAAGTTAACTTAGAGCTGGATCCACCATTTTTAAAGTGCTTTATATGCCATGAAAATTTATTCTGTTACAGCTGTAAAGTGTTTCTATGTGCTGAATGCATGATAAATGTAATGTCTGTACCCAGCCCAAGGGTTGCATAGGCAGAGCCAAGGATTTAACTTCTTTGCCCCCCAATCCCAGTATATCACCTTAACCTTTATATTAGGTTTTCTTTTATACTGGGATCATGTTTAAACAGAGATATATAGCACAATTATCAGATGGGTCTGTTACAGTCCTTTTCATGGGGGATGGCAGAAAGAAGGATAAATTATGGGAAATGATGCTGAATTTCATGTCCTTAAGGCCTGGGTGAAATGCAAACGATGTAACAGAAAAAGTCATTTCCTTCCTCCATTGTTGCCACAGTCACACCCAAAACAAAAGCTGCATCAACTGGCTGACCTACCACAGCAGAAGGGTTGTAGGCCCTTCTGAAAAAGTTGATTTTATCATCACTTTTGAAATCAGCTTAGACTAGGAAGGATAACCAAAAACAGGGCTGTAACTAGGGCTTTTGATTTCAAAAGAGCGACTTTTGAAAAAGTAAAAGAACTGCTTAGTGAAGTCAACTGGACTGATGTACCCAGGCATGTGTGTAAGGAGACTTGTAATTCAACTCAAAGATTTAAAAAGTAACTGGAATTTAAATCCTATGTAAGGGATGGAAAGAACTTAGAGGGAAGCACTCTAAACCTAGCAGTCTGAAAATCCACGTCAAAAAGGAGCAGGAGTAAGGAGCTCTGCAAGGGTGACAGATACCACATCCTATTTGTGGCACGATGATGGATAAACACATTTGCAGCTGGCAAAATCATTCACTCCTCATCATTCGGTATTTCACAGAGCCCCAAATTAGCTAACATGGCATGTCTACCATCTTTTCAAGAGAAATTAGTATTCTAGAGCTGCTACTGCATTCACTGAGTCACTTACTACAGAGTCACTTACTGCAGTCAATCAACGAAAAGAGGAAAGAGGCGAATACAAAAGCACCCTAAGTTTTACTTAAAGCAGATGCTATTCGTGACATTATTCCTTTTTCCTTGGCAGACTGGTGTGAGGTGCTGAAGAGACATATTGTTGAGGCTAGCAGACTAAATGGGATCTTGTGGTTTGTACCATAGATATCCTTCCTCACTGTGCCAGTTCACTTTCTGTGCCAGCTTCAGTAAGAGAGTGGGACAGTGGCATTTAACAAGAATCCCATGCTCTGAATTATTATGGATAACTCTTGCACAAGGTAAGGGCACTGCAGTCGACTTCACTTTTAACAGTCTCAGACAGAGCAGAGAAATGGCAACCTGGATGTGAGGATCAATGCACAGACTTTGACCAAGTCTCTTTGGGCAAAAGAGGCCATGAGAGCTGCGTCAATCAGCCTGGAGCAGTAAGTGTACTGATTAACAAAATATGCATGACCCTAACATTTGCTTTCACATTCATACTTCTTTATAGACCAATAGAAACTGCATGTCATCTCATGAGCAATAAAAACCTACAGACAGATAAATTCTCTGTTTGCCTGGCACTTTGAGGAGCAAGACAGCCAAAGGCTGCAATTCAAGACTACGCAGGCCCTATTTTGTCCATGCAGGTGTTAGAATATGCTTATTCCCAAGAGACCGTAGTCTGGCCCTTCTTAAACTGAAATACCCTGCTAGGCATTTCGAAGTGAATTTACAAAGCAGAAAGTAGTGAAGCAGCTATATAGGGAAATGCAGCAGATGGCATAAGCTCAGCCATAGTTTCTTGCTTGGAAGTTAGTACAGTACCTGTTTCACTGGAAGAGGAGATACTAGCTAGGATAGGAAGAAAATCCCTCCTTTTTTAGAACAGTGCTGTGGGGTCTTTAGTTTCCAGAGAGACAGTACTCCAGGGGTCACTTCCACCTGTCCCTTCAAAAGGATACAGCTTTCAGTCTCCTGCAGGGCTGCAGTCTCAGTGCCAACTTTATTGGAGGTCAACAAGAGTGGATCATGCCCATTCTACACAACACTCACAAACATATGCAAATCCAGAGTGACTGCTGATGTCAGTGCTCCAAATCAGCACAAGTATAACCTTCTGAAACTGGCCCAAAAAATGCCCTTTTACCCTCACCAGGTCCCCTGGGGATTAGGCAGAAGTGGCTGTATAAAACAGTGCTAGTAAGGCCATGCCACAGTAGAAGGGACTTTAAAGAGCTCTGAGTGTAAAAGAGAAAAAATGTGTTTCTCAAAAAGATCAAGCCTAAAAGTTGGACTTCCTCCTGGCGTAAAAATACAGGCAGCCTAAAAGTTAGAACTGGACAGTGTTACAAAATGGGCACATTATCTTTGAGTGTCTAAAACCAATCCCACGCATTTTATTAAATCTGGTACCACTTAAGGTACAACCACATGGCAGAAGCAAAACGGACTGGCAAGGACTTCCCAGTATGCCCTGCTCATCTACTCCCACATTCCCATAAATTTGGCAGTGGAGCCAGTCCACAGTGTCCCTCTGAGGTCACTCTCAGGAGCTCAGTCTCTGGTGCGCAACTGCACAGTAATGCTCTGGAGTGGCCTCACTGCTGCACTTCTGGGTTTGGAGCATGTGAGTTGGAACAGCTGGACAAGGTCAGCCACATCCTATGCCATAATGCAGACATACAGGTTTCCCTTGATTTATGCTGTACATGAGTTCCCGGAGAACGGCGCATAAAGCAAATCCACTTTACAATGTAACAAATAGGAATAGGTTCTCATGGTGGTGAGGGAGGGAGTGAGGCTGGGATTAGGGAAGGGGTGGGGGAAGGGGTGCTGCTCCTGGGGCTGCACAAGGCAGCAAAAGGAGAGGGAACAAACAGAGTGGCACTCACCCCAGCTGCAGCGGCCCCAGGAGCGGCTGGCGCCAGCTGCCTACATCAGGGCACAGTGCAGCCCAGGAGCAGAGGTGAGTGGGGACAGGTGGAGTACTGTGTAGCCCAGCGGCTGCAGGCCACTGGTGTCTGCTGCTCCCGGAGCCGCTGCAGCCAGGACTGGGGTGAGTGCTGTGCCCTGTGCCACCCAGGGCTCCACTTGTCCACACTCACCCCAACCTGTGCTGGAGCAGCCCCAGGAGCAGCCGACACCAGCTGCCTGCACCATGGCATGGTGCAGCCCAGGAGCTGGGGTGACCCAGGCATAGGGGGACAGGCGGAGCATGGTGCAGCCTAGCAGCTGCAGGCAGCTGGCACTGGCCACTCCTGGAGCCGCTGCAGCCGGGGCTGGGGTGAATGGGGCCACAGCCCTTTCCCCTTCCCTCACAGACTTACCTGCTTGGGGGGGTAGCATCTATGCTGATCGCATAAGAGCGAATTTACCTTGCATATAATGAATTATGGATCTAAATATGCTCATCGAATAAGAGCAAATTCACATATAAAGAACCCGCATAAATCAAAGGAAACCTGTACTGCAAATACTCTTAGTCATGCCAATCAAGGGGAGAAATTTTCAAAGGTGCCACTGGGACTGTGGGTGCATCTACACAGTGATTAATGCACAGTAGTTACTGCACGTTTAGTTTAGTACTTCCTTAATGAAGTACTAACTCAAAGTGGAGTAACTACAGTAGCACTGGCACACAGTTTTTTTTTGTGACAGTTACAGTGTAGTAGCCTAATACACGGTTTTTGACTGGCACGCTACTGCGCAGTGTTATTAGGCTAACACACAGTAAGTGTCTCATATAGATGTGACTTGTGTTAATTATAATTCACTGACTTCCTAACTGGGTACCTAACTGCTTTTAGTACCTAGTAAATCTCCCCTAAATTTACCAACATTTAATTGAAACAGGCAGTAGTTTAGTGGATCAAGGTCACATCTAAGAATGGTCTATGGACCAGGCCCAGGCCATGCTACTTGCAGGGACATCTGAGATAAAGAGCTGAAGTCTCCCTGTGAGTCACTGCAAGAGTGAATTGTTTGTCCCTTGCTCCACCTTAAGAAACCCTCTTATCAAGAAAAGTAAATACACTTAGCAAGGGTGAGAATTAAAGTGCTTCTGTTTATTAGTTGTGCTCCAATGTGCCTATATACACAAGAAAACTAAGTCCCTGCCCTGAATAACTCACCATTGACAAGATATTTAGATAAACTCTTCATGGCCCCAGACTTTTACCTAGCCATTTAAAGCACTTCTGAGGCTACATAGAAATGACTGGGAGCCAACTATGTTTTAACGCAGGGGTGGGCAAAATGTGGCCCACCAGGCCATTCTATCCAGCCTGCGGGGCCCCTAAAAAAATTAGAAAATTAATATATCTGCCCCTGCCTGCCTGCCTGGCATGTGGCCCTTGATGGCCTGCCAAAACTCAGTAAGCGGCCCTCGGCCCAAAATAATTGCCCGCCCCTGTTTCAACAGGTTTAAGTGCAATCTAAACTTTATCACACCTGGGTTCCAAAGCCACGAGGAGGCCAAGCTGGGTCTCACAATGCCTCAGCTCCGAATGAGCAAAAACTACTATGAATAGATAAGGCCAGGGCATATATTTAAAAACTAGCTTAGACCTCAGTTGAGACATAACAGTGTTCTGTTTTCCTAGGGTAGATGGATCTTGAAGCTACTAGGTCCCAAGGTCACCAGGCTAGCAAGCACACAATGATAGGACATGGTCAAGCAAGAATAAATAGTGCAGATTTATCAGTACTTACCTGGGGCTGAGAGGCCAGATTCATTTTATATGGATTGGTTTTTCCCTCCTCTGTCACAAGAGGTGACCAGATTTTGGATTCACTTCTGAAATATAATAGCATTAATGATTAATTTGGCAGTTTTCTTCACTAGCTAAAATTACAGTAATTAAACAAAATTATTTTAAACACTTCAAGAACAGGACTTCAGTAACAGGTGAAAAGGGCAACAGCTGGAAAACATTCTGGAAAAAAATAGTGAAAAGAAAGCAATCAGCAAGGGAGGTGTAAAATCAAGAACCAATTGCAAAATGAAATCTGTTACAAGACCAACTCCAAACCAGAGAAAGGAGGCAGCCTGAAAATGTTACTGCATGAGACTAGATCTTGCTGACTGGATACATGAAACATTCTTAACAAAAATACAAACCCTCTGAACTGTTAGCAGATGAACATGAAATATTACATGGAACTAGGTAAAGTGCAGCATCGACAGCATACAAATTCAGCACTGTTGGCTTCCATTACCCAATCACCCCTTATGGCAGTGATTCTCAACCAGGGTACCACCCAAAAATTTCACATAGGAATCCACAGCACCAAAAACATTCTCTGACCTGTTATGAGAGTTCTCTGCAACAGAATTGCTCTATTATTTTTCTGTAGTCAAAAATGAGTGAAAGCTGAGAGCTGGCATTTTCCAAAGGGTGCCTTCAGTCTAACAAAGTTGAAAACCACTGCCATATGATATTTGGTTTGTTTGGGTTTTTTTTCCTTCTCTCTCTCTCCTTAAAGCCTTAGCTCCTGGAGGCATGTGATTGAGTGAGACTCTAAATTTTCACTTAAAACGATTGTCTAGGCTTCATATTTATGGAAAAAGCTTGAAAATGTGGCCCCCAAGTTGAACAATTACCCAAAGCCTTGATTTTTATTTAGGTTTCTAGGCCAATTTCTGGAACCTGACTCCTGATTTTTGAATGCTTATGGTTGGCAACACGCAAATCGCATGTTGTAAATTCCAAAGCGGTTCGGGCATTCAGATGGTGTTACTGTCAGGGAACAATTCTAGGCATCTTAAGCTTGAGTTGGAGAAAGAGTCACTTAATATGAGCTTAACATTGTAAAATGGCTTAGGCCTGAGAGGGTGTTTTTTCTAAGAGAAGACTAGGTTTTTTAATACAGGATTCACTGTATAGAACATAGATGGGGCCAGATAGAAACAACTTTAATCCACATTTCAACTCCAAATGTGTAAAGGGGGCTAATGTGCCCCCTTCTGAAGGTGTTGGGATGTGAGATTTTGGATCACACCCTCATTTCTTACACAGCACTACTAACAAGCTGAACTGAGGATGCAATATAGAGTCATGTTTGCAATAGACATTTATTAGTGATTGGCAAACAGACGGTATTAAACCAAATATTTTAAGCAAATAGTATACACACTGGGAACAGATACACAAATTCTCTGGGGTGGGTTTACTCTACAGTAACTTACTCTAGAGTAAACCCCCCCAGGCAGGTATCTACACATGTAGGAAAGTGGAAGCAGATTTGCTGCTCATGGCAGCAGTTTGCACCTGCCCCACGTCGGCCTTACACCAGCCCCCTGCAGCAGCCAGGGGGAGCTCTAGGCTCCTCCTGGGTGCTAGTCCAGTGGCTGGCAGGGAGTATGGTCTCCTGGCAGGGGCTGGTAAATTGCTCCCTTCTGCTGGAAGCTGCCTGCTGCTGGGGCAGGCTCCACCACCAGAGTCCAGGCAGAGTCAATATCCCCCTGCCCTGGCAGCAGGGAGCTCCCAGCCCGAGATCCCCTCCCCTGCAGCTCTTTCAAAGCCCAGTGCCTCGATCGCCCAATCAGGATATGGGGCTTGGACCTGCCCCTAACTGTGACAGTTCCCAGTCAGCCCTGGGCTGTGCATGCAGCTCCAGGCTGGGCAGGGAACTCTTCCTGTGCAAGGAGCTCCCAGTTCCCATTCTGCAACTGTGCAGTGGGAGCTGGGAGACAACAATCTCCCAGGGGCTGGGAGCTCCCTGCTGCCAGGGCAGGGGGACAACGTCCCTGCAGAGCTCCGGTGGCAGAACCCACCCCAGCAGCAGGCAGCTCCCAGGTGCTGGGAGCAATCTCCTGATGCCTGCTGACTGGAAGCAAAGGCCGTCTTACACATGCCATACTGCACAGTAATTACTACCAAGTAAATTTGCTACTTGCATTTACAGGTAGCAAATTTACTCAAGATTAGCGCAAATTACTGTGTAGTGGATGATTACTGTGTAGTGGGCAAGATGCTTACTACACAAGATGCTTACTGATTGTAAGCCTAATAACACTGCGCAGTAGTATGGCAGTTAAAAACTATGCTAATAGCCTACTGCGCAGTGTAATTAGGCTGATGCACAGTAAGCATCACAAAATAACCATGCACTGGCATTACTGTTAGTGCATTTGGTTAGTACTTAATTAAGCAAGTACTAAACTAAATGTGCAGTATCTAAGGGAAACACAAAATTCTAAAACTCTTGGTTCAGAAATGATACCTTTTATTACTAAAAATAGCAAACAAAATTCTCTCTTTTGCAAGCTTTCGGGTGTACACACCCTTCTTCAGGCTGAGGAGTAATCAAAGATTGTAAAAATTCCTCCTAGGTAGAAAATAAGCTCCATTTTGCACAGGAAAAGTTTTAGGCTGGAAATATATTTCCTTGGGTCTGGGAGAGTCCTTTTGTGTGAGTTGTTCTTTGATGTACAGATAAGGCTGCCCTCATCCCTGGAGGTGTCAGATGTCAGAGGCAGGCAGGGAGGCACCAAAATCTTTCTTTCTTGTTTAGCAATGAAGTTTATCTTTCCAAAAACGGTGAAAATATGGTATCTTCCATGTTTCAGGGCTCTATTTTGTAGCCATGTTGGTCTGGTTGTAGCCGTGTTGATCTCTTTTTTCCTATACCAACATGGCTACAAAATAGATCCCAGTATCTAAGGTACATTAATGAACTTGTAGATGCACCAAGTAAATATCTGCACGTGTAGATGGTGATGCTTACTGCACAGTAATTTACTCTAATCTCAAGTAAAGCATCTTGTATAGATATGCCCACTAAGTACCTGACTCTGTGGCCCTTACTCATGGGAAAAGTACCTGATTCTAGTGGGAAAAAGCAAGTGAGCAAGGCTGTAGGACCCTCAGTGTGTCTAAGCCATTGCGACTACACAGTAAATGGTCCCACGCATACAAACGGTGAATGTGTCATACCCCTAAACTAGGTTGTTCTTTACAGTTATAAAGATAGTTTCTGATTTGTGATTTCAGAGTTCTCTTCTTTTTGTATATAAAAGACTGTTACAGGTGAGCAAGCAGATGCCCACAGATGCCTCTCATGGGCTTATACAATGAATTGTTCGACTCCGTACACTCAGGACCAAAGGGATCCATGACAGAAGGCTGCATTGTTTTTGCTGGTTTATGGATTGATCTGGTCACTCACAAGAACACTCCAAACAGCCTGCAGCACAAGTAAAGATGCTGAAAACAGCACGTCTGATTTGTGTTATAGTACCCTTTTTAAGGAGAATCTAATTATCAGAAGGAATTCAGGATCCCAGTCTGAAGGATGTCACTTCTTGGCATGTCACTCCTCTGTGCCTTGACCTCCCCATCTATAAAATGGGACAACGTTTAACTACCACACACAGGTATTATAAGATGCTTGGTTAAGGTTTGTGAAGCTCTTTAAGACATACAGGTAACTCCAAATGTCTTTTTCCAGACACAGGCTGTCATGAATCATTGAACATATAGAGTTTTAATGAAAAAGTTTCTGCAGGAGTTTTCCCCATATTTAAAAATAGAAAAGATTAATGATTTTTAAAAAATGTTTCCACCAGAAACCAAGAAAAGGAAGAAGGAAATTAATTTGGAAAATAATATTTGAATCATCCTAATGTTCTTCCCAAATGCTTTTTTGATTACAAAGAGATTCAAATCAGCTCTACTAAGTATCAAACTTAAGAGAAAGGAAAAAAACTTTGCTAACAGCTTTCTGTTTTAAAACAAAGATAATCACTTCAATGCAAACATCATGATAGCTAGACACTAACGCTGAGGGGAAGTTTGGCTGGCAAGTCTGAAAACTATAATATAGTACTTTAACAATATGCTATCTGAGATTCTCAGAAGAGCAGAATGTGATATGTATTCAGTCCAAGAAAAAACATTGTGCTGTTTTTTTACAGTATCTCAATTACAAGGAACATGCTTGCTGTAACCTTGATAAATGAAGACCATTGCTCATTTTTAATGGTAAATGCTGTAAAACATGTCAGCAGGCAGCTGAAAAGCTCTTAGGACAAGTTTTGAAAATTAGGTCCTGTGTCATGAACTGCAGTTTTTCATCTGAACTTGGTAGGGTTGCAAACTCCGCTTTCTCAATTTCTATGAATTACCTGCACCTACAAATTAGTTGGTGAAACAGATGGATTTGCACCTGCAATTAAGGTTAAGTAAAGGGCAGAGAGTAAATACAAGGCTACTTTCTACTTTAATTGCTTGGACAGGGATAAATTTAACCCACGTAATTTAATAAGCAGCTGTTCAATTTTAAATAATCAAAATATAAAAATCTCACCATAATGTAGCTTAGAAACTGTTTGACCATTATGTAAAGGTATGATTTTCACTTCAGGGGAGAAAGGAGAAAGAGTTATGTGGAGCAGATTTCTCAACCCATGGGTCACAACCCAAAAGTGGGTCACAAGAATATATGAAAGGGTTGCAAACAAACTTTAAAAATGCATTCTCCTTTACAAGAGAAAAATGTGGGAAAGCATGGCTTTTCCCTTGCCGGCTGTCAGGGTTCCAGTCTGCAAGGGGCTGCTTAGGGCCCCCATGCCCACCCTCCCCGCCGCCCCACACTACCACTCCAGCCCCATACCCTGGGGGGCTGGGGCCTGGAGGCAGCAGGTTGGGAGTGAGGGGCACTGATCGGCAGGGCCAGGGAGCTGTTTTCCACTTAAACTATTTACTGGGTTGGGACTGGCCTTCAATGTTACAAAAAGGTATAAAAAAGGTTGAGAACCACTGACTGGAGGACAGCAACTGCCTGCTATTAGCA